TTAGATTGGAAATAAGAAATAAGAAATCTTTTTACTTCTCATATATATAAAAAAAGACTAAAATCAGATTTCACCACCTCATATGTCAACATTCACCATCTCTTGCATCCTCTTTCTTTCCCTCGGTATCTCCAATTCCCCTCTCACTCAGTTATCATCTCTCCCCCACTCTCTACTGATCTATATATGACCTTCTCTTTTTTTTTTTTTGGAATAAATAAGCACACCCTCTACAATTTTTATGAAATTCCGTAGAGAAATATGATATAAGTCATATTTTATTTATTATTGAAGAAGAAAAAAAAGAGATAGAATTAAACAATTAGAGAGGGAAGATGAGGGAGGTGATGAAAAAAAAAGAAGGGGGGAGGGGTAGGATAGAGTGCGCTAAACAAACATGATACGCAACATATAAGCACAGACCACAAACAAAATTATGTCCGTCTCGGTTTGGGAATAAGACTATTCGAAACAACATACTTCATAGGTTTACATTAAAGCATGTGCTTTCCTTCATGCGCAGACTCGTGGAGGGGGGGGGGGAGCAACGGCCAAAAAAAAAAGACGGACCGCCCCATCCCTGCCCCCTAAAAAAGTTTAAAAATAAGATGGTAACCACAAATATCCACTCTCGCTTTTTATCTATAACAAGGATAACAGGATAACGGAATAGGGGCAGTGATGAGAGAGAAAGAGAGAGAGAGAGAGAGAAGCGAAAGCAATTAAATATCGAGATTCTGATATGTCTATTGATTTTTTGTGGGTACGATGAAAAGGCACGAATGAAGTAGAAAGTTGGATTGATGACTGTATCTTGGAAATGTTGTAATCAACACACAAGTTCCAACAGACCGCGATATTTACGATTGTTACGCCTCTGTTCTGAAAGCGCCGACATGTGGAGGGAATGTCATAATAAATCTGTCATTATTTGAATGTCGTTGTTGCAACCGTGGTCAATGGTGAGGAGCAATTATTTCCGATGACAAAAACATTTGTGTATTACAAAATAATCCAACATTTTAGAATTGTTATAGGCACACAGCCAATTTACACCTGTAATCTCTCTCTCTCTCGATAATAATAAATCCAGATCTCGAATGAACACTGTCTCCTTCTTATCTAAAATGAGGGGTCATGTCAATCAACACCAAAGTTTAAAACACGCGTACATTGTTACGCGCCTTTATTCTGAGAGCGCCGACATAGTAGTGGCGGGAATGACATAATAAATCTGTCATTATTTTATTTATAAATAAGCACACCCTCTACAATTTTTATGAAATTCCGTAAGTCATATTTTATTTATAATTGAAGAAAAAAAAAAACACACACACACACACAAAAAAAAAAATCATTATTTATAAGAGAAGGAATTTAAAAAATAGAGAGGGTAGATGAGGTGAGTGATGTAACAAATTTAAAAAAATGATACGCAACATAAGTACAGACCACAAAGAAAATTATGTCTGTCTTGGTTTAGGAATAAGATTATATGAAACAACATACTTCATAGGTTTACATTAAAGCATGTGCTTTCCTTCATGTGCAGACTCATGAAGAGGGGGGGGGGGGGGGGCAACGGGGCCAGGCTGCTTCCTCCCTGGCCAAAAAAAAAGACGGACCCCCCCCCCCCCCCATCCCTGCCCCCAAAAAGTTTTAAAATAAAATGGTAATCACCACAAATATCCACTCTCGCTTTTTATCTAAATGTATCATTTCATTAGTCCTCCGATCTTTCAACACCCACCATCTCTTGCATCCTCTTTCTTCCTCTCATTTTGATCATTCAGATTCATCCGCATTTTCATGCAAAATATTTTCTTTATTTTTTTTCTCAATCTTTCTTTTACTCTTTAAACCATCTTTAATGAGGCATCATGTCAATCAACACCAACGTTTCAAAACACCGCGTATATTTGACACTGTTACGCGCCTTTGTTCTGAGAGCGCCGACTCAGGACATATTTGTGGCGGCCTGGCGGGAATGTCATAATAAATTTGTCTTCATTCTTTCTCAATCTTTCTTCTACTCTTTTCACCATCTTTGATAAGCTGAAGTAAAGAAAGAAAATCAATTACAGTATCACCGACGCTTGAGAAATAAATAGTGAGAGAAAGAGAGCTAGAAGCGAAAACAATTAAATATCGCTGATGTTACCGGAGTTTATGACAAAAATTAAGCCGTCGGAAAGAAATCAAAGTAAGTCCATTATCACCTGCGCTCGAGAAATGCAAAGAGCGACCGATCGCGGGAGAGACAGAAGCGAAACCAATTAAATATCTGTTGATTTCTATCAATTCTTATGGTGCATTCTATATCGAAACTCTTCCGGCACGCAATATCAAGAAGGTAGTCGCTGCCGATCGATCTCGCCTTTGTTTGGATGGCCTATTCATGGAGCATTCCAGAATGCACCCACAATGCGCCAATTAAGTCGTTAAGTACCGCATTCTAGGTACATTCTAGGTACATTCTGGAATGCGGATTAACAGAACAATAGATTCTGAATAGGGCATTCTACATGCATTCCGAATGCCAGTTGAATAAATCCGTGGCGCCTTACTGAAAAGCATTTATGCTTTTTTAGCAGTCAGGCAAAATGACCACCATTTTACTTCACATACATTTAAACAGAACACAAAAAGTAACTATCCCCTAAAGAACTGCCCATAATTTCATAACCCTTGAATGTATCACAATGACATCTTACCACCATATTGGTACAGTTGTTATCTACATTTTGTGTGAAAATCAGAGATATTCATCACTGTCTGGCTGAATGAGTTTACAGACAAAATGGCCCAATTCAAAAGTCACAAGACATTGTGCGTGCCTGCACATTGTTGCGAAACAGCAAATGACTGATCGCATTGATTATGGTTTATGAAACAATGCTGTTTGACTTTGATATATCATATTCCATCCAATTTTATTTGTTGGCACATGTGTTTAAATGAATTATCTGCAATTGTAAAACAGTGCATTTTGAAATTTGGAATGCCAGGTGTGATAGTGAGCACTAAAAAAAAAATAGGTTTTTTGTTTTCCCCTCAACCAGGCCCCCTTGGCCTTGAGTAAAAAAGAAAGAAGAGGATTCATGGGGAAAATGGCATCTAGCAACATTCCCCCCTTTCGAGTAAGAAAATTGGGAAAAAATTGGGGAAAAATAGGGCAAAATAAGGAAGAATAGAGAAAATGAGGTGAAATCGGGAAAATCAGGATAAAATATATTTAGATCTAGACTAGACCTAGTGAAAAAAAAAAAATCTGGTATTTTTTTTTTTTTTTTTAATTTTAAATCGGGAAAAAAAAAAATCAAGAAAAAAATCGGGAAACCGATTTAGTTCTAAATCGGGTTTTTATCAGGCCTTCAATACTCAGTAAACTGCAATAATAATATTACTTTTGTGAATTTTGAAATATGAAATGTTTCTGTTTTTCACTAACTTAGTAAGTTAGCCTAGAGTCTACCCTAGCCTAGGCACCTGCACCGGGGCCCTTGCACATTTATTTTTAATTGATTCAACTTCAAGATTCATTTATTTCTTTAGACACTGACATGAAAGCAGTACATTCATTAGACCGAAAGCTTCAGTCTCTCTAATCGTCGGTTGTTCCACTGAGACTACGTCTGGCTCCACTAGACCTCCGATTATAGAGACTGAAGTCTGGGGACCTCTTTCTGTGAGGCACTGTACGGAACAAATGGTTCGGTTCGACCGGACCGCGATGAATGAGATATGCAACGAGATTTTCACTCTTTACATCCTCATAACTGCTGCAATTACAACACAAATTAAAAATAACATATATATAGCTTATTTGACTTACGATAGCTTCCTCATTTAGATCCTAAATTAATGATTAATCCGAGAAAGTCTCGTCGTCAACATTATCCGTCTTGGTTTTAGTTGATGAATATTCATTTTTTCTTTTCGAACGTCCAATAGCTACCGTAGCTACGCTACGAGTCGGCCCAGCTTGACCAACGAACTCCCACGAAACGAGTGCTCTGAGTGGCCATTTGGCTATGTTTTGGTAGGTGGACCCGGAAATATATCGGCCGCCGGGTAATATTTCGAATGCATGAACGTACTGCTTCGCGGATCTGAGATACAAATTGGATAATTCATATAAGTAAGTCCGTAAATTACGTATTTAATATTAAGTTATCAAATTTTGATAACTGTAATTAGGACAAATGACATACCGACCTAATTTACATCTGATTTAGAAATCAGAAAATTAGATCTAAATAAAGAAAATCGGGGAGAAAATGTCGTGGACGAAAATATGTACATAGCCATCCCCTCGGTACGAGATCTCTGGGTTGCCATCTGTATTGGGGAATGACAACAAATGTCAGTTTTATTAAAGAAATGACCCAAATCAGATGGTTATTGCTGTCTATACATTCATGAACAGAACAAGTTCATCGTCAACAAGAATAAATTCATGGACGATAACAAGAAAGTTATAAAGACATTGAAAATATGTAAAAAAGCACAGCTTGGTTAAACACAGATCACCTTTACAGGAATACAGGAACAACAATGTTTAGAAATTCAAATAGTGACCATTATGTGAACAATTGATGAAGATTTAGTTGATTTAGATCTAGTAGTAGGGTTTCTCCACGCCGGAGTTCCGGGTCAAACTCTGGATAGACTTCTGATTTGAACTAGCTAGTATAGCGCCATAATTTCATAAGTGGTCTAGTTGAACAGATGCCTAACCCTGACTCTAAAATTTTGTAGGGCCTAACTATTCTCTGTCCAGGCTTTTTTTTCTACTTTGGGCAGAAACCGGAGGATTACCAAAATGTGCCCCGACCCGCTGTTTGAATCGTTTTCCTCGGCGGGCGAGGCCGGAGCTCCCTGGAGCTGAGCCTGAGTTAGGTTTAGGGTCGGGATGCCTGCTCCTGCCCTAGACTAATTCACAAGCGGCTAAATTATAATAAATAAAATGAAGTCTGTTTGCTAGTCGTCGTATTTACCTGCAATCCAGGAGCCCCTGGATCAACACCGGTGTCCAGAATCGCAATAACCACACCTCTTCCATCGTACTCCGGATACTTCGTGAGAAAAGCTGCTGCACCTGTTTCATTCTTCGGCAACAGACCGGCGACAGGGAAATTCTTGTCTATGTGAGACGCCATTTTGCCAATACAGAACTAGCTTGCCGGTGACACCCAAAATAGGTCAAAGGTGAACGAACCATGAGTCGTGCAATTCGCAAGCGTACTGCGCGAGCTAGCCGCTTGTTATAGCTGCGATAGTGCGCGTGATATGGCAAGCCGTTTAACATTTATTCCTAGACCTAGGTCTATTTCTTGATAATCGAATTCTTGATATAATCGAGAAATAATTTTCCGTTGTGAACCAATGGTAATTCTTGGTATCAAAAATTGTTAGTGATTGATTTCGAGCTCAAAAGTGTTTCAAGAATTAATTTAGATAAAATAAAATTCTTGATAGATGTCTATCAAGAAATATGAATAAATGTTAAAACGGCTCGCCATACGCGCGTGCGTAGAGTATACTGGATGCAATGGGTTTGGGTTTGGGTTGAGTTATAGATCTACGGGTTGCCTTGGTTTTCACCGGCGCGGCCAAACGCTTGGGCTATTTACTAGGCTATCGCGATCGGGATACGACCGTCGGTCGCGTCGTATAGTCTGTGCCTAGTATACACGTCCAAACGGGTCCAATCCTCTAAAAACGTGAACCAACTGATGAATGTTGTGACCTGAGCTGTGAGCCTTTGGCAGATTTTGCGATTATTGAGGACATATTGTTCTCCATTTATATCATCATCATCATCATGTCCACGAGATCATGCAGAACGAAACAGAATCCACGCGAACTCTTGGAGCAAATGCTTGAAAGAACAAGTTTGACAACCAGGCGAATCGCTCATGTAAATGTTCAAGGTGATTACTCGGATGTTTTGTATATAGTAAAACAAGATTCTAATCTAAGGCAACTTCTTGTTAATTTAGTTGAGAGACTCTCTAGGCCTATAAAATAGAGCGTGCTCCAAAGTTCACCATAGAAAAATATAAACAGAATAGATCTATATTATTCCTATGGACGGTGTGAAGAGTGTTGTATTATTCATATCGAGTGTTACTGTTAGTGTTACATAGACTAATTGTAACTTACAAAGAAATAATAATAATAATAAATAATATTTAATTTTTATATAGCGCTTAATACAAATGTCTCTATAAGCGCTTTACAAATATACTATTACCCCGGTCATTGGATTCATGCAGTGCTTGCCCGCACACAATGTGTGCACAATCTCCACTCCCTGGGGAGCATTCCAGCCAGGCGTTACATGGCGCTCAAAAACAAAGACACATGAAAGTTGAAAGAGTGTTATATGAAGCTGAAGGTGATATATTACTGTTGGAGGCTGATATATATTGTCATGGCTTTTAAGTTTTAGAGAGATGAGACATACATTTCGAGTCTCTTAAATATCATCCAAGAAAAATGGGCTAGAGAGTAGATCGGTCGACTACTGTATAGGCCTACATAAAAATAAAGTCATTTTTATATAGCGCATAATTATAAATTCTCTTTGTGCTTTACTACAATCAATCATACAATATTACATGATTAATCTAAAGATTTAAAGGGAAAGTCCACCCCCAAAATAAGTTTGTTTTGATGGAGGCAGAATAATAAGAAAATCAGGTGAGTGAAAGTTTGAGCAAATTCTGAATGAAAATAAGAAAGTTATGAATTATTGAAGTTGTACAATCAAATACAAATTGGCAACTCTGTGACTTATTATACGAGCTCTCCTTCATTTGCTTTGTGCATAATATTCCATAAAATCATGTTTTCTTCGTTATTGATGACGGAATATATATTTGTTCCTTGCAGCTAGGGGGAGTATAGAAACATATTTGCAATTATTATATTTAGGGTGCATGTATGGTTGAAATTTTTCTTGAGGGAAAATGAAAATTTTAGATTTTTTTTAGTACTGAGCAAATGGAAGTTGAGCTCGCATGATACGTCATAGAGTTGCCAATTTGTGTTTGATTGATCACAACTTCAAAAATCCTAACTTCCTTATTTTTAATCGGAATTTGCTCAAACTTTCACTGACTTGTTTCTCTCATTTTTCTAGTCCTATTAAAACTAACTTAATTTCAGGGTGGAATTCCCCTTTAAATATGCATGAATCACATTAATCACAAAAACACAATTATTATAGTTAAATAATTATGATCTTTTATTGTAGTAAGGAAATAACATTATTTGACATAAACTAGCATATAATACTATAGTCAACATTGATATTATAGTAATATTAATTATTATAAATATAATCGTTGGTAGTATTATTAGTAGTCTACTACTACTACTAGTACAATGTAGTAGAAGTAGTAGTACTGTAGTAATAATAGTATATCATCGATTATAATTATGATGATTAATATTATTATTATTATTACTTGTACTATTACTACTACAACATCTATTGGTATTATAAATATCCACTTATTATTACAATAGCATTTTTATTTATACCTCTAACAGGTTTCAAATTTGGTGTGAGACAAAGGATATTATTTTTTTTTAATCTCAAATGCTTGTTGATAATAGATAGGCAATAAACAATGATCAGCATGCAATATTTTATAGAATGTTCAAAATTGAGCGTTGTAAAATGTAACATTAATTTTGGATGGCCTTAAAGTAAAAGGATAAGGCAAGGAAATATTGGATGCAATAGAACATTAAACAAATCAGTGATTTGTGTATATCAAGTTCTTTGCAGGATTTGTGCAAAATTATCACACTTATTTTGGGAAATTGTGATTCTGATCCATCATTTTCTTTTTCCACAAACTGCATAACATTCATCAAGTTGAAGAAAAAAGTGACAGTAAGAACTGAGATTCATGGTAAACCACAGATGGGAGACACTAAACAATCATGAATTGGGACACACGTACCTCATACTATCTTTCACACACAAAACTGAAGAAAATTTCATTCTATAGGCCTACTTTGTCAAGAACAATAAAATGTTTACAAACCAGCAGTTCACAGTTTCCAGAATAAGCACATGCATGCACATTGCACCCACTTTCTGTCTCGTTTTGCATCATTTTTAAGAATAAGCCAATTTTGTAATGTAACCAAATTTATGCGTACCGGTATGCCTTTGTGAAGCACCTTGATAGGAATTATTTCAATTACATGCTGCAAATAAATGTATCTTAATACCGGTAGTCAAAATTAAAATTGTATATGTAAGTCATAAGTTGTTGCTAGGTAGGAAAAACATTATAGCTTGCCCTACCTATGTTATTTGCATTCTGACTATTGAGATAGTACATTTACATGTATACGTAACAGGTGAATTTGGTTACATTATGAAAATGGCCTACTGTATCCTCTCACCTTCAACTTATTCCCTCGTGTGAAAACGAGATACGGGGATAGAGCGCTTTCTGTAGCGTCCCCCTTAGTTGTGGAATAGCCTCCCGTGCTACATTCAAAATGCTCCTACATCCACTTTCAAAGTAATGTTAAAAACCCATCTGTTCAAAAACATACCATAAATTTTGTCTTCTCTAAACATGTCAAATAAATAAATGATGTTGTACTTCTATTTGTTATGAAATAAGTCATCTTTAGCACAATTTAAGTTAGATTATGCTGATTTATTCATTTATTTGTATAAACAAACTGTAATTTTGATTTTGTAACGTAACATAGCATAACATACTGTATAATTGTGTACTGAATAATATTGTGTACTTGTGGTGCTGTCGTCCCAGCTTTATTTCGTGTAAGGATATTGCTTCACCTAATGGCTGCTGGGACAACAGCACCACTGCGCCTAGAAACAATGTATTAGGCGCGTTATAAATGTGATCTATTATTATTATTATTATTGTATGTGTTGGAGTGGATTTGAATGTATCCCATTTATAAATGTGTTTGTATTAGATGTTGGTGGAGCGGCTTACACCAGGGCCCATGAAGCATGGAGGAGGGACAAAGAGGAGTCTATTCGTAAAGCTGTGCAGGAGACAGAGGAAAGAGCAGCTCGGATCTTGAGAGAAACTCTGGAAAAGGCAATGAAAAAGGCTGCAGACGACAAGAGGGATGCATTGGAAGAAGCGAGATTGGTAAGTCTGCATTCCTATGCAGATTTCATTCTTCACTTGATTGGTCATATCTAAATCAATTCCTAGCCCCCGTTGTCAGGTAGGATGGGGAAGAGGTGGGAGGGGGGGGGGGTTATGTGTCCGGACATGTATAAAAATCAAAGCATTCTATTTTGCCTTTGAACTTCACAAAAAAAAATTGCATCAGATCTAGTACTGACCATCACAATAATAATAATATTTAATTTTTATATAGCGCTTAATACAAATGTCTCTAAGCGCTTTATACAAATATGCTATTACCCCGGTCATTGTATTCAGTGCTTGTAAACTTCCTCTAATGACTGTTTTAATTCAAATGTCTACAAGTGTGCACTGCTACTACAGCATTATGTATGAAATTTCAATGAGGATGGATATGTACTATTTTATATTGGTAATCAAAATCTTGAGACGCCCCATAGGTGTGGTAGTTTTTTATATTAACATCATCGTCAACCTCATTTTCCTCCTCCTTACATGTATTCTTGGACTAATATTTCATGACCCTTATTTATGTATATTTCATTGTTATATAGAACCTGTAAAAACAGGGGTAAGAATGATGCCTGGGTTATATAGTCCAAAAATGACAAGCCAGTGATCAAAGAATTTACATGATGTACTTAAAGCTCATTGCCAATTCATAATAGTCTGCTTTTTTCATAATGTCTTAAGTGTTGTTATTGTATATTGTTGTATGATGTGTTAACAGGAAGCAGAAGCCACTGCTGAAAGAGTCAGATCATCTAGAGATCAAATGGAATCAGAGCGTTTTGCCAAACTGACTTGGGCCTTTAAGAAGGAGAAGGAAGAGGCTCTACGGAAACAATGGGAGGAATGTGAGAAGATGAGAATGAAAGCAGTAGAGGACGCTATAGCAGAGACTACCCGTCAATTACGCAAACAGTTCCTTGTTGCAAAGGAATTTGCTGTTGCAAGAGCCCTCAAAATTGCAAGAGTATGTATACTGGATGTAAATTTGAATAGTAATATGGGATTACTATAGGATCTCAAAATAAAAAAGAAAATATTTGACTATAAGATTGCCAAAACAAAAATATAATGAAAATGCTACAGAGCATGTTGATTAGTGTACAAAGTTTAAGTTGTCACAGTTAGTTTGTAGGCTATATTTAGGTTATGAAACACTGAGAGTAATGCTTAGAGCCTGCAAACTTGTCAGTTTTTAGTGAGGTGATGAGCACATTACCTACAATTCTAAATAGCTGCCCATTTCATCTGTTTGGAGCCTGGAGGTATTAACTCTGTGGAATATTTGAGTAGATGACCTTCAAGCTCCTAACAGGTGATATATTTTATAAATCAATTTGTAAATCTTAAATTTATACACATCATATTTGAGATACGTGACATGCATGTATGTAAGGGCCATATTATATCCGGGCAACTATCCCTCTAATTTGTGCGAAAGATTAACAAGACAATTCAATAGCTTTGTGAAATGATAACTAAATAGCATAGAAACTTTGTGTTGCTTCCATCAACTGCAACAATGAACAAGCAAGTTGAAACCAAATATAATACAAAATTATGAATGGAATAAATTGTGTTGTGAAAAAGGTGAGTATTTTTTATTCTATATCTTCAATATATTTGATGCCATTTTTTAAACAAAAAATGAAAAATGCAACATTTCTCTTATTTCCTTTAATGATATTTTTATGCCTCCGCCACCGAAGGAGGTGCCGGAGGCATCATGTTTTCGGGTTGTCCGTCCGTACGTCCGTCCCGTTTGACCGTTATCACAATATCTCAAGAACCATTTAAGATTTAAACTCTGATTAGATTTTGGAGTACGTAGGTCAAAGGTCACAGGTCACAGAGGTCAACTTATGAAATTCCTTGTATTGAGTTTGTTAGCGCGATATCTCAAGAACCATTTGAGATTTAAACTTCAAACTTAAGGATAGTATGTATCACCATAGGAAGACGATCTGATTAGATTTTGGAGCACGTATGTCAAAGGTCAAGCAGAGCTGCCAACTAGTACGGATTTCCCGTAATTGGTACGGAAATTAACGATCATTACGGAATGTTGTCTCAAATTACGGATTATTTATTTTTTATTTTTTTTATTTTTTTAAATCTGAATTTGAGACAAATTCCGTACTGAGAGAAGCCATTTTTCATTGAAAACTGTGTTGTGGTGACCTGAATATCAATATTTAACATCTTTGTGTGAGTAAAATCACCAAAAATATCAGATAATCGTGCTTCCGCACAGTGTCGGCGTGCTTTTTTTTTTTTTAGATTCATAGCGCCGCATAGGAAATTACTGATTTATACCCAAAATTACTGATTTTGACCTTTGTGATTACTGATTTTCTGTTCTGGAGGTTGGCAGCTCTGGTCAAGGGTCACAGAGGTCAACTTATGAAATTCCATACATTGAGATTGTTATCATGATATCTCAAGAACCACTGGAGATTTAAACTTCAAACTAAGTGATAGTGTGTATCACTATAGGAAAACAATCTGATTACATTTTGGAGCACGTAGGTCAAAGGTCAAGGGTCATAGAGGTCAACTTATGAAATTCCATACATTGAGATTGTTATGATATTTCAAGAACCACTGGAGATGTAAAAACTTCAAACTTAAGGATAGTATGTATCACCATAGGGAGACGATCTGAATAGATTTTGGAGCACGTAGGTCAAAGGTCAAGGGTCACAGAGGTCAACTTATGAAATTCCATACATTGAGATTGTTATCATAATATCTCAAGAACCACTGGAGATTTAAACTTCAAACTTAATGAAAGTGTGTATCACCATAGGAAGACAATCTGATTAGATTTTGGAGCACGTAGGTCAAAGGTCAAGGGTCACAGAGGTCAACTTATGAAATTCCATACATTGAGATCGTTATCGCGATATCTCAAGAACCACTGGAGAATTTTCACTTCAAACTTAATGATAGTATGTATCACCATATCATAATATCTCAAGAACCACTGGAGATTTAAACTTCAAACTTAATGATAGTGTGTATCACCATAGGAAGACAATCTGATTAGATTTTGGAGCACGTAGGTCAAAGGTCAAGGGTCACAGAGGTCAACTTATGAAATTCCATACATTGAGATTGTTATCATGATATCTCAAGAACCACTGGAGATTTAAACTCCAAACTTGTTTAAATTGCTCTATGGCGGAGGCATCATTTTCGACTGCGCGCAGTCAAAATTCCATCTAGTTTATATGTTCAATCAATTTTGTATTATATTTTTCTCTTTCCTATTTCAGTTTCATTTTTCCTATCGTTTGAAGAAGGCAATAGAAGCAACAAAAGAGGAGTGCAATAGGTTGGCAGCAGAGGAAGCAGCAAAGGCTGCAAAGCTTCATAGAGAAGAAACTATGAGACTCAATAAGATGTAAGTCTTTCTTATATAATACTATTAGGTATGTTTCCCCTTTTTTCATCCTTCCTGCACGAAGATGGTGTTGGAGGCAGGATGTTTTTAGGTTGTAAGTCTATAGCTGCATTTCGTTACCACGATAACTCAAGAACCATTGAGTGGATTTCAACTAAACTTTGATCAAGTGTGTATGCACATACAAGGATGACGTGATTGGGTGGAAAGGATCAAAGGTCACAGAGTCATAAAAGTGTTAAGAACTGCCAGAAAATATCTTTATAACATTTTATTGCTTTGTGAGATTTCCATTCACCTAAAATGTATTTAAATTGTAATAATATAGTTGGGAGAATTAAGGAATCGATCAGATCAGTTTTCCCCAATTTGTACCATGAATAATGGTCCGTTTTCACTCAAATTTTCAGATTATCTTTAATTGTACATCTAGCATTGAAGTCACTACCTTAGCACCACTATCTCTCATCTGAACAATGTTACCAAGTCCCTTTAAAGCAATTCAAACCAAAATGTGATGAAGTATGCATGAGCACACAGAGATTAACAGATTCAATATATTGTTGACAAAAAAGATCAAAGGTCACCTGGGTCATAAAAGTGTTGAAAAATGCCCAAAACTTCTTGTTACTGCGATTACTTGAAAATAATTGAAACAATTCAAATCAAACTTAGATGAAGCTTGAATGACTATACAGGAATGAACTGATTAGGTTTTGGCAGCGAGGGTCAAAGGTCACAGGGTTGTAAAAGTGTTGAAAAAAAATGCCAGGAAATATCTTGTTACTGCAATAACTTTTAAAGCATTGAAGCGTTCAAATCAAACTTGGATGAGATAAAAATGAAGATAAAGGGATTAACCAATTTTTCATAGATTTCTTGCAGAAAAGGTCAAAAGTCGTAGGGTCACAAAATTGTATTTTGGTAATTATATCTAATTATATCTACTTCTTAATTTTATTTGACAGTATTCATGAGAACGAAAGGGAGCTTCGTGATGAGATGCAAGCCAGAAACTGGGTACAGACAGACTTCCAGGTATGCAACTCTTCTTACATTATCTTTATTTGAACTTGAAACATTCAGGTAAAATTACTTACGTAATTAATTATATGGCAAATCAATTAACCATGTTTTAGCTTACTATTGAGCGCTTCAACCAATCAGCTATTTTGAATCTCTCGAGGCAAAGCATTCCACTGTGAAGGTCCTGCACAAGAAAGGGTTCTCTCTCCCCTAGCATGGACGTCGATAAGGAGGGGACATCATATCAAATGTCCCCCCATGTTTTGTCAGAAAAGAAGGGGGACCACCATGCAGGAACAACGATTTTGTATACCAGTACATTGCCAAGGAGATGATAGTTCAATTCTCGTTAAAAAAAACAACAACTAAACTTTGGTGCTCACTACTAGCCCCCCACCCCACTAAGTGAAATATCAGCCTGCACGATTTTCAAATTTCAGGCCTCCCTATCCCCCCCCCCCCCCAGGCTCAAGCTCAGATTGACGGCCATGTCCCCTAGTATTCGGCTTATGAAGAACAAGTAATCCAGAGTTTTGAGAGTGTAAAGAAGGGGGATGAAATGTACCCATTTATCAAAATAACATTGTCCTGTAGACAGATCTGTACATGGGAGCATAAGAGTAAAAGTATGATAGAAAATTAATATAGTCTTCTGTAAAATCAGTGAATGTCTGTCCTGAACATTGTTGCGTCTGATACAATTGACATAGGATGTGTAACCTAGAGATTATTTGCTGATATCTTATTTTGCAGGATATTCAGAATGACTACAGACGTTTTCTGGACTACACGGATGGTAAATACCATTCAGATTATATGCTGAGATTGAGGAAACATGGCATGAAATTTGACACAAACTTTGACCCGATAGACGAGGATGCATGGGTGGACATATTCCCGTTACCAACGTACCTACATCGCTACACACGCAGGAGTATGGTGACCCCTCATGATGTTACCAAAGATATGAACTTTGCACCACCAAAGACTGATCAACGCACTACCAAAGACTGATCAACATGAATTTTTTTAAATCCGAGCAATATTCATTTTTTTTTAATGAAGGAACAGTATTTGTCTAGGTTTTGTGAAAAAGGGTTTTTAAACAACTTATGAATTTTTATAAAACAAGTCATTTAAATGATATCTTGATGTTTCTGTTTGTGGAGTTGTCGTGGTCTAGTGGATACGTCACCGGACTGTGGATCACATGATATGCGGTTTGAGTCCCTCCGCGGCACTAATGTATTTTGGCAAGACACTAATCTACATTTTTGCCGCTCTCCATCCAGGTGAGGTTAATGGGTACTTGGCAGGAATTGTTTCCTTGAAATGCTAGAGCGCCATAATGGCAGCCATGCTAAAGCCGGGTAATAATTGTGGAGCACCAGGAGTGTCAAATTTGATAGACATGAGCGCAGTACAAGAACACACTATTATTAGCATGTCTAGTAATTATGTACCTTGCCTGTTAATGTCCATCTGCTGATGAGCACAGAATGATATTTTCTTCAAGATTTGATGCTGACTATATTTCTGTCAATTTTAGTTGCATTGGATCTTATTTTTCAACAACTCAAAGGATATATTTCTGTTGTATGCATCGATCTGCAAAAATATAACCCAAAACATAATATTGCCCTCGAGCATTGGATGTTAGGATATAGTGAAACATTCTTCTGTCTACGATGAAAGGGGGGAGGGGGGGGGGGGGGTTAAGGAGAAATAAACTTCCCTTCAACTTCATCTTGTCATCTTAATAGCTGCGATTTGAAATGTCAGATGTGATTTGATTATATTATATATATATATATATATATATATATATAGAGCATGAATCTTTCTTGAACCTTAAATGAATGTATTTGTTACAATATAAATGTATACAAGATTCTGGTTTAACCCTAGTTTGTATAGCAATAGGATGGATTCACAATTTACAGTGCACCGGTAAGCCACAACAGGCCAATTTTTTCAGCTCGTGGTTTAACATCTTTCAAACCCATGCAGCACAGAAAAACGCTAGCTATCGATCGAAATGACCAAAGTGGTCCAAACTGTAAATTCATTCAGTGGGATTGCACACATCTTTGTCAAAACCTGCCCATCAAAATTTAGCCTGATTTGGAAAAAAATCAATATAAATACTTAGTTTGGGCTAAAAAGAAATTGCAGAAATGACTAAAGTGTTGTGAGTTGGAATTATCGCAAAATCTCACCCAGATAATCTATTGAAACTTTCCCTACCAAAAAAATCTGATTACCCCTAGCAATCTTTAAAATCTCTTTAAAACCTCTTTAGTCTTTAATTCCTCAGTAATTTCTTCCAATATGCTTCCATGTTATTAATTCCTTGTGCAATGTTTTGAGGTTAGATTCTCATATTCACAAAATTTGTCAGGTGTTTGATATGCATGCAGACTATATTTATTGAGTTACTATCTTCATTCCGTCCTGTGCAGTATGATTCTATACCATAATAAATATTTTGTATACAATTTCATTGCTTCCATGTTGCTCTATCTGTCAGAAATGGCCTAATGATTGGTGGAAATCATCTGAGTATAAAATGACTGTGCAGAGTGAAAATATTCAATCCTTGTTGCACACATATGGAGGTATTCATGCACATGGCTGCCTGTAATTCTGTTTCTAAATGTTACGGGTGAACAAAGAAGAAAGATTATTATCTTCAAAATGCTCTTTCCCCTTAAAACTACATACTGTCGCTGTTACTTATCTACATTTTACATGAAATTGACTTTATTCCATGAATATTTTGTTTAATAAATTACAACAATTCTCTTGCGGCACCCCTAGAGATGTCTTGCAGGCACTGCAGTTGAAAAACAATGATTCAAGATTCAAGATTCAAGATTCAAGATTCAAGATTCAAGATTCAAGATTCAAATAAGGTTTTATTCATGACTTGTCAAAAAGTCCAAAGACCAAAAATGCAAGTTTATATCAAACATACAATCATATATAAAGCATTCAAAAACACATGTACATATATATAAAGATAACATAGCAAATGAGAACAAATATATAACAACAAATAAATGCACCAAATGGTCAAAACTTAAGGGGGCAGATTGTAGGGAGGGGATATGCCATTTGCACTGAGTGGGTAAATATTGCATATTAACGTCAAACGGACACATACATACTGTCTCTTTTCCTGACTTTTTCTATCTTTCACTCCTAAAGACAGGTTTAAAAAATTTGACAAAAAAAAAGGTATCACCATGGAGATGTCAGTAGTGATCGGGTAGGCCCTATTGTGCCTCGAGTAAACTGTACCAACTATTACATTAAAGATGTCCTCATTTAATGAGATGGATTTGAGCTTAATGTCGACCACATAAAGTCAGTCTCAACAGAAATATTTATCCAGGAGTTTGCATCACATTTCAATGTAAATATGCAATGGTCAAATATATGGCGCCCCTCAAGAAAACTAGAGCATTTTACAACTTGACACATTTTTATAGAAAACAGCTGCATGTATTTATTGCATTTTAACCCGGTTCCCAACATAAAAAATCCTCTGTATGCCCATGCCTTGAGCCATAATGCATGGCCGTCCAAAGGAATTTTTTATGTTGGGGACCGGGGTAAAATGCAATAAATTATTGAAAATTTATTGCATTTTCTGTTTTTATTTTTATTTATGAAAACTGCCCCCTACCCTAGCCCCCGCCGCGTACAGTCATGGTTCAGTGACAAAGCAATGGTCTCGTAACTGTGAGGCCCCAGGATCAAATGTGTCGATGTGCTATATTAGCGCCCTATTGTGGGGCATTAATCCTCATTACTGTCATTTGTGACTTAAGGGCGTAGGTCCCCTAGTTGATAAGCATAGTAGCATACACATGCTTTAGTAGTCACGCAAAACACACATTGACAAATTATTATTCAATAAAATCTGAGAATGTATACTATTATCTAGATTTATTATTTCAAAAATATTTTTAAAATAATTCCATAAATTTGGGTAAAACAAAAATATTCCACCTATATGAGCGACAGTGTATGTAGAGTTTTCTGTAAAATGCATAAAATTAATATTTTGCATAATTAATTAGGCTATAACGACAAAAATGTGCATATTAGGAAAAAACTAATTATACCATCTTGTTCCTTGCGTAAATATCTACAAACATGCAAAATTCTGTGTTCATCGGACTTTCGACGGCCGAGATCATAGGGGGGGGGGCCGCCCAGCCCCCCCCCCCAGTCACGAGGTGATCAAAATAGGCCAGTACAGTAAGGGTTAAAGGTTAAAAACTCAAAATCAAATAAAATCGTGAATTTTCTTTATCATAATCTGGTGTAAGAGAGGCATTCACAAAATAAAAAAAATTATAATCTTAGAAGAGTATTTTGGAGCATATCAGGACATTACCCCCGACAATAACCCCCCAGATAATTACCCTTCGGAAAACTACCCCCTCAGACAAAAATTCCAGGAATATTCCCCCCCCCCCCCAAGGACAACCACCCCGAGGACATTTACCCCCCGGAAAATTACCCCCTATGACAATTACACCCCGAAAATTACACCCCCTGTTCATTAAAGGGGAAATCTACCCTGATAATAAGTTGGTTTTAACAAAAACAAATTTTTCGGGGGGTAATTGTCCTCGGGGGGGGGGAGTGATTGTCAAAGGGGATAATTTTCAGGGGGTAACTGCCCTCGAGGTGGCTGTCATCGGGGGGGGGGGGGCGTGATTTTCCGGAGGTAATTGTCCCGCTGGTAATCAGGGCCGTAGCTAGAGTTTGATGTTGTTTTTTTTTTTTTTGGGGGGGGGGGGGGAGAGGCACATACATGTAATTGATCGACGTCCTGGGGAGGGGTCTAAAAAAGTTCAACCGATCTAAGAATTTTGGGGGGGGGGGGCACGTGTCCCCCCCGTGCCCCCCCCCCCCCCCCACCCCCGTGGCTACGGGCCTGCTGGTAATTGCTGGGGATGATTGTCCTGGGGGTAATTGAACCTAGAACCATTTTGGAGCAATCTATTCCCTAATATTTTACTCACGTTCTTTCCCTTTAATTTCCATAATCTCTCCCTTACTCTTACCTCTTTCAATTTCTGCCATTCGATTGGAGGGCACGTGTCCTCCGTACCTCCGTATCTCCGCCCCGTCAAAAACTTTAATATAGAAATAGAATGAAGAAGAGATATAAGAGCTGGTACACATTCAGTTCCACTCAGTCTTAAAGGAAGCAATGGCTTATTAATGTATAATTCATTTACGCTTTGTTGTCGTTGTTGTTCACTCAGAAGCCATATCCAACCTATGAACCATTTAAGATGCTGCAAGTATCGATGGACAGGGCCGGATCTAGCTTTTTGCTAGGGGGGGGGGGGGGGTTGACCTAATGATGACCCCCCCCCCCGTAGATCCGCCCCTGATAAAAGTTCCATAAGCAATGCAAAAGGATTCTTAGTGGCATAATATTTGTTGTTGTTAACCCATAATATAGGGGGAGGGGTTCTTTTTACCTTTTACGTAATAATGGGGGCCGGATACTTTTGTATCTTAACTTTTGTATCTTTTTCTAAGAGTACGTATACATTTTATATAGACTAATAGGTTTTTCCCGAAAGAAAACAAAAACAGCCCAATAGTTCGGATACTGCTGGAATGTTAATCAGATAGAGTTCCGTTTTCATACCAGCAAATAATAACCCTAGACACTCATCGCTGTACGCTATAAATGAAGACTGTAATCTGCTTATTATTTGATTGTTAATGTCGGGGTAGAGATAATAGTGTGGTACGGTATGTCACTGAAACAGCTCCCGTAGGACTTACGTGCCAAAGTTGATTTTTTTTTCTGTTGCATTTTTGGATTCATTGGGGTCCAAGCTATCAGAAATTGACGGGGTTCAAATTTTCCCGAAGACACCAAATTTCCCTATTGCGCGTTATATAAGCCATATAGGGACCCCCAGGAAATGAAGGAGGGGTCTGAAAATTTGAACCCCATCATTTTTGGCCAATTGGGACCCCTTTGAAGCCAAAACAGCAACAACAAAAAACTTTGGCACAAAAATCCTACGGGATTACATACCATACCGCACTATAAGGGTCCTGGTTGGGTTTAGGTATGTATAGAGTTACCCTCAGTCCTATACAGAAATATGATTATACTTGTGTGTTAGTATATTGTGCGAAGAAAATCTACGAACGATAGATTACAGTAAAGAAATGGATTAATGTACAACTGAAATTCTCTTGACAAGCAAGTTAGTTTGTTTGTTTGTTTGTTTGTTTGATTTTATTTCTGCGTTCCAATAAAAAAAAATACAAGGTTATACATTTTTACATAAGTATTACATACACAGCAAATCATGTCTAATAACATTATACAATAACCATTATACAAAGCATACAAACAAGTATAACGGATATTTGTATATATTTTTCATTGAACTAAAGAGATAAATTTCAGAACGCAGGAGACCGCCATCGTGAGCGGTTAGGCTGGAAATAGATGGCGACCTCGTGAAAAAAAGAAAAAGATTTCGCAACAAAACTCTCTTGGTGCAGTGCAATTACAGGTGCGGGTGCAGCAGACGTAAAATGAATATTAAATCGTGGTTTCAGACAAAGCTATTAGACTAATTTAGAGCATTCGGCACATATGATTGTATTATTTTTCGTTTAAGTGTGGCTTTCAAGGAATAGAAGGTTGAAAAAGATTTGATGTTGTCGGAAAAATTATTCCAAATATCCGGACCACAATGTCTAATGGATTTGTGCGTTATTCATAAATTGGGGTTAGTTAGATGGAAATTTTTAGATATGCGTGTGGGGTAGAAATGAACAGAACAATTATAACTAAACAAGGATGGTGGAAGTTGTTTATTGATATACTAGTCTTGAACAGAATAACAGCTACTTGAATTGTATTCACACAAACAAATTTTAGTGTTCTTAGTTTAGAGAATAAGGTGTCAGTGCACCAAATAATGTGATCCTGTACAAATACGGATTGCTCTCTTTTTATACCTTCCACCTGCAGGTCAAACAGGGTTTTTCACATTAGTTCACGTCTACTTGTATATATTTATCATTCTTTTATTTCTGTTTATGCGCTCTATGTTTCTTACAATTTCTTATTTCTTACTTTTCCTTTCATTCTTTTAAAATTGACATTACAATTTATATGTTCATTTTTATAAAAATGCAATTATGTAATGCAAATTATTGTTGAATTGGGGCTCCTTGGTTAAGAAGTCATTTTAAGTGAACGGTCTACCCTGACGAATGAAAGAAAACTAATTTAAAACGATTTCAAAGAAGGAAAATGGGAGATCATCCTACCAGCGACTATATGTTCATTCTTACAATGGCGGGTACAGTCCTTTTTGCAGAATGATATCTATAAAGTTAAAGTTACCGGTACTGCACTTATGGACATCCTTGGTTCATTAATAGATCCAATATCATTTGGTCTATAAGTATAGACTCACCTACAAGAAAATCTCTCAGTGTGATTAATCGCTAAGACGGACAGAGAGAGAGAGAGAGAACTCCTTCATTACCAGTCACGTGTACTGTACTTAGCCATCAATTCAAGAAAGCCAAAGTGTGATACTTTTGAACTAATTATAAGAGTAATTAAGTCTTCGATATGGCTGCTCCACGACAAATGAAGGCCGTTTTAGTAGAAGAGTTTGGCGAGGCAGAAAAGATGAAAATAAAGACAGACGCCCCCGTGCCTACAGTTGTGGAGGGAAAGGTAAGCGGTGGTTATATATATTTAAAAAAAATGATATAACAGTTTATTGTATTCATTCATTTTTGCATGCATTCCCGGATTCTCATTGTTGTTATCGTAAATGTTTTGGTAAATTATTACCTTTAATGATAATCTTCAATAAAGGAAACATAACATGATGGAATGCGGTGCACTTTGTGTTTTCGTGTATTTTTTTTCTCGCTCGAAAGCTTTGAACGCCTGCAAAACGATCGATATATTTTTCGAGTAATTAACGAAGACTATACTTAACAAAGAGGCAAATTTCATTTCATGATCTAAAAATAGAATTTATGTTCAGACAAAAAACATTCCAATTTGAATCGGTTTGTTCGAAAAATCTGTACAAGGCATGCATACAAAAAATGCAAGACGTCCCTGTCAGTTTTCAGAATTTACATTCATCATACAATCTGTCGGTTAAAGAAATTGAAAAGGTTTTTGTCCGACCAAGAATTAGTACTTTAGATAATAAACTAAGAGAATTTCAATTCAAATTGCTTTATAAAATTGTTTATGTCAATCGTTATTTATACAGGTTTCAATTCATATTAAGTGATAAATGCTCATTTTGTGGAAAAGAAGAGGAAACATATAGGCACATATTTTTTGAATGCGAAATGGTGAGAAAATTATGGGATCAATGTAGTGATAGTTTGGATATTCCAATCCTTAAAGATATGAGCTGGAAGGAAGTTCACATTGGATTAGACGAAATAACCGAAGATAGGCAAATGATTAATCACGTGGTTTTATTAATTAAATATTTGATATTTATTAGTAGGGAAAAAAAGAAGCCTCCAAATATTGAAGAAATAAGAGAGAAAATATTCAAAAGTAAACAGGAAGAAAGAAAGAGTGCTACTGAACGAAATACGTTGACGCTCCACTATAAAAAATGGGAACATCTCAAGGTAAACATGGATAATATGCAAGAAAATGCAAGGGATGAGGAAAGGGGGGGGGGGGCCTGCCCGGTTCACAGCTGTGTGTGATTGACCGGTCTCGACTGCCATAGACTGCCCACGTCATCTTGTATCGTTTTTTGTTTTTTTGTTTTTTTTTGTTTTGTTTTTTGTTTTTGTTTTTGTTTTCTTTTTTCTTTTTTTTGTTTTTTTTGTTTTGTGTTTGTTGTTGTTGGTTTTGTTTTTAACGGGGGTAGGGGATTTAACAAGCTTTATTCATTCGATATAACTAAGTTGATTATAGTCTGTACTTTGTTCCAATATGTTATAAATTATAATATGTAATAGGGATACTAGTAACACAGAACAAAATATAGAGGGGGGGGGGGGGGTTATAACAATATTAATTCATTCAATATAATTGAGATTACTGTATTTTGTACTCTGTAATTGGTTTCAATATGTTATATATTACAATTTGTATGAATTAATATTATTTATTGAGTGAATACAATAAAGAATATTACAAAACAAAAAATACTGAATAAAAAAAATAAAAAAAAGCAGTTTGGCTTTGTATTGCACCGACACATGATACGGCTGCCATTTGGGATCGCCGTAAACGACTGCCATGAAATATAGAATTTGCGGCATCGCATAAGGGATAGTCAACTCAGAAACATAAAGGGTAATCCAACACTTATAATAATTTTATTTGAACGAAAGCGGTTTAAAATATATCGGACCAATAATAAGAAAATTATAAGTGTTTGAAACATGAGATTACTTAATCTATAATTTGGTCATGGGGTTATGACGTACTCACGGACAACTCTCCCGTTCGTCGTATACAAAAATATCATAAATTTCTGTTTTTCTCCCATGCACCTTCTCTATTGGGGCGCGTCTCAAAATATACTGTGGGTAGCATATATACAGTGATAAACTAAATTATTCCTAACCCTTATTAATTTGAGGTCTTCTGAGTTTTTCCGTAACTCAAGAATGTAAGGAAGACTGCTTGAATTGGAGCTTCTGTTGAATACTTTTAGATGTAAGTTTTAATATGTCACATTCTCAAGAAACAAATCGGGACAAATCAAATTTTCACATAGTACTTAAAAACTTACACAACTTGGTAAGGGTATGAATAATTTAGTTGTTAACTATATATATAATTAGCAAAGGTTCTTTACAAAACAGATTAAAAAAAAAAAAATTGTTTCTTATTGTTCATCTTGCTGGTAGGTGCTCGTTCGTCTGTATGCGGCTGGAATTAACGAACTTGAACTTCGTATTCGTTCCAAAGGCTGGCGGGGTTTCATTGCCCCCTGCATTCTCGGAATGGATGGAGCAGGTGTCGTTGAGTGCGTAGGTGACGATGTGACGACTTGTAAGGTAAGCGTTAAAAGACATTTGGATTCTATATATTCATTCGAAATACCTAATAACAAACCCTGATGAAGGGAATATATTATTTTCACTGCTTAAAGTAGTGTGTTTTCATTGAGAATTTGAAACTATTTGGGAATTTACCGCCAAAAGGTGTGCCAATCACCAAGAGTGGACTTCACTTTTACGACCGACAGGACTAATACCCGCATTATTACTGAGGACCCGTCTGGCATCAGATGCGGGTCTGATAATGCACTGTGCCCTGAATCTATATGGCCCAAAGGAATTCTCATAGTAATAACATTTCTCTCATCCTCTAGTTATATGAAGGCAAGCTGGGATATTTTATGATGGGACAATGAGTTACGCTGCATGAGAGACCTGTACACACGTAATACCTATCGGTAATTCAACCAAATCTTGGCCCTGTATTATGCGTAATTGCGATGATTCAAATCAATCTCAACTCTGTATATTATAAAGGCGTTGAGATTAATTTCAAATTGCCATTGATTCGTATGTATCGCAACTTTTTACAAGACGGGGCTCTGGTGTTGGCGAAAAAGGACAATTTTCCCCGTGATCGTTACTCGATTCCAACACAAACTATATTCCATTTGAAAGTGTGAATTATACTAGATGAATATACAGAAACAGAAATAAGTAAATGAAGTTGAGCACTGATGAATTAGTCAATTAATACATAATAAAATTGAATGATTAGAGCAAGTAAACAAAATAATGATATACCATGTTTCCAAACATTAAATGAGAGTTAAAAAGAGAACAAAAAAGATACAGAATGAAATCTGTCATGAAATACAAATATATATGAATTACCCAAACCCTTCAAACTTATTGTAACCATGCTACATTGATTCTTTTTTTCCCGTCCCTCCCCTTCCTACCACCTGGCACTCTCGATTATTATCTTTGTCGGGAAAAACTCGGGCAAGCTGCTTTCAAGTAATCAAGAACAACCTTTGTTTAAGAGTGTGCATACAATTTGAATATTTTAGTAAACCTGTTTATTGCCCCGTTTACTAATCTATTTCAATGTTCGTATGTTTCTTTCCCGGACCCTTGATTACCAAATATTTTGATTCACCTGCTATGTAAAATTGAATCTCTATGGATGGAACTCACTTTGCTTACATTCGTTTGTTGCTATGTTAGGCAAGTCTCTGGCAAGCTTTCAGTCGCAAAGAGAACCTTTTGTTTTAAAACGTATGCTTGGAATTAGTTTTATTGTTATGTCTTTTTCTCGCCACCGTACTATGAAACATTAAAAAAAAAACACGTTTGCTTGATTAACCAAAAAACAATTACAGTCATAACGGACGTTTATCACAGGAAGCGATTCACAGAATTACTGTGAAAGTACTGGTACAGGAATAAAATAATGAACTTCTTTTTGTCTTCTTCAGCGTGGGGATCGTGTCTATGTGTGCCAGCCAATTACAGGCACGTACGCGGAGTACTGTTTAGCAGATGCAGACAGGGTGTATGAACTCCATGAAAAGCTCAGTTTTGAGGAGGGGGCTCTATTACCAATTCCATACTTCAGTGCGCTACATGCTCTAACCAGGTAGGTGAGGGTGCTTGGTGGTGCTGCTGCTGGTAGGGGTGGTGGTTGTGAGGCCGTTTCTCTTTTTAAAGCCTTACGTAGTATGGGAAGGCACGCCAGAACAGTACAAGCTTGGGGCGTGGGCCCGGGGGTGGGGGGGGGGGGGGGGCGCGTGGCACAAACTCCGAGCCTCCACCTTGAATACATTGAGATCGTTTATAAACGAACATAATAGGAGCGCATTCGTCTTGCTAAAACATTCTTTGATAAACTGTATGCAATATTGCGTTTGCCATACGTGATACTGGAATAAATAGCTTGAATTTATATTACTCTGTCGTTGAAGGTATCAAGACAAAGATGGGCTTCCGACTCGAGGCACCCCATACATTGACAATACATGTAATCCAATGCAGAATAGGCTTTTCTTCAGTGAATATGTAGCTTAAATGTGAATCGTCCTTTAGACCAAAGTAAAAAATAAATAAGAAAAAACAGATTTGGCGCTATTTGAATCGCCTTGGTATAAATCCCAATTTAACGTTTAACTTTGCCAATATTTGGTAATGGTAATTTTATACTAATTACCCTAACTATAAAAGAAGATTATCTAAATTCATTGATGAACATGACTGTATACTCATTTTTTTAAGCAAGCACCTTTAAATTTAGGAAGAAATTTTGAAGTTTAACATCTTTCTCTCTCTCTCTCCTTCTCTCTCTCTCTCTGGATGCCCGACTCCGACTTCTACCGCTCTCCCTTCTCTTTCTCAATCGATCCATTTCACCTGCTTTATCTCCCTCTGTATTTGGCTTTAAAACCAAACCTCCTCCTTCCTTATTCTTCTTCTCTTTTTTCTTTTCCCTGTCTCTTTCTGATCCTCTCACTTTCCCTCTCTTTCTCTCTCTCTTTCCTTTGATTTACAGAGCTCACTTTCAACCTGGTGACAGTGTCTTAGTACAGGGAGCAAGTGGAGCAGTGAGTATATAATTATTATTTCAGCAGATTTGGAACATGATAACTGGAGTATCCATTCTACATGTATGCTAATATAGGCCACCCCTCTTCCGTTTGAAGACCAAGGAAGTTTTTGTCCGAAAATTTTACGATATGCCAATCTGATTTGAAATACAAATGCATCAAAATATGCTTATAATACGTCCTTAATTTCAAATTCAAAATTCTGTACCACATTCGATTCCTTCTTATTGGATTCTTTATTATATGTAACCTGCTACACGGTTAAAATGAAAATTTAGCTCTTGGTATCACTGGTAAGAGTAAGAAATTACTTTGATATGATTCCTCATTCAAAGGAATTGATTGAATTTTGACAAAGTTATTACTATTTTCGAAAACTTTACAATTATTTTTTCGACAGACATATTAGAGTCTAAAGTTAAGCATTTGGCTCCATCTTCTCGCCAGAATAACATGTATACATTCACTCCATTTCTACTCAGGACCACCCGCTATATACATATAGCCAAATTCGAAATGTTCATGCTTTTCTTTCTTTTACGGTACCAATGTGTCAGGGATCAACACATAAATAAGTGGTAAATTAAGAGGAAAAACAGCAAGCGATACCTCAATAAATTCTCATTCTTTTGACCTCACAAATCTTTTTGACTTAATTCCTTCTTCAAAACAATATAAAATAAATTCACTAGCTATCCGACCATTACAAATATTGTGTTGGTCCCTGAAGTCAAAATGTCGTGTTCAGAGTCTCCTACAGTACAATTGGGTTTGCCTAGAAGCGTCGGGTTTTGTCATAGCGGGTCATAAAAGGAAATCTGTCTGTCGAACTTCTTGCTCAATTATAAATGACAAACGTTGACAAAACCAAACTATCAACATTAGATAGAGATGCAAGAAAGAATGACTTCGTGACAAGAGTCATTTTCTTTGCACCGGACTCAGAGTCCCATATCCTAAGCATGTTTACAAAGACTAGGTACCCTTAGGTAATTCCATTATACAGCCTTTTGGCGTAGGTGTGAATAATTATATACGGTTGTTGCTAGGGCAGACACAAATTATGACTAGCCCTGTCTAACAACAGGTAATGTATGCAAATGGCATTTTGACTATTTATTATTAACTGTATGTGCTTCTTTTTACTCATCTTTCGTTTATGATCTTGTTATATATTATGTATATTGTAAGGGGCATTGAAATGTCAACAAACATGAAATGCGCTTTAAAAGAATAAAGTGTTATTATTATTATTGTTATTATTATCATTGCTAACTCATCATGCTCGATGGTTTTCATCTCCACACCAGGTTGGTTTGGCTGCACTTCAACTTGCTCGAGGACTGGGTGCTTCAAGTGTCTTCGGGACAGCTGGTAGCGAGAAAGGGCGGCAGATCGTGAAGGAAATGGGAGCGGAAGCCGTATTCGATTACAAGGACAAAGATTTCAGAGAAATTGTAAAGGTAAATGTTTCAATATGACCTACATATCATTTTTTTAAACACCAAAAAACGGAATATCTTGAGTTTTTGTCTGAAATCCGAAATTAGGAATAGATATATGCAAGCAACAATCTATCGGAACCGTATTATTGCTTTCATGAGAACCTGAAAATAGTAATTTATTTGTCATGGTATATACCGTTGGCTTGATAACGTAACGTATACTGTTTACCCCTTTGACATATTTTAACAACTGACAGGCAACTATCGGACCAAAGGGTGTGAACGTCATCTTAGAGACCAACGTCGACGTCAACTTTGCTTTCGACCTTGACATCATATCCAAACACGGTCACATTGTGGTAGGTGGATTTGTTTCATTTGAGTGTCATAATACAATTATTTGGTATTGATCGTGACAAGATTTGAAAATTCATTTTATGTCAAATGATGCTCACAATTTTAGGTTATAAGATCATATAAGCTCGTGGTAATAAAAAAAAGTAATATACATATATATATATATATATATACATAAAAGTTATTTAACAAAACTTTAAAAACTCTTACCTATGGCGGCATGCGTTTTAAGGTGGTGGGTGGGGGGGGGGGGGAGTTTGATTCAGGATAAGGCAACCATAGTTATATGAGTCCTAAATTCAAGATAAACTGCATAAAAATATGGTTTCCAAAGGGTTCAAAGAACGAAATATTCTTAAGCGCCCTGTGCTTCCTCGTATTGTTCTGTTTCTTCAGGATGTGATCCTTTCACCCCAATGTTAAATATGATGAGTAAATAGTGATTTTAAATAGGTTTAAATATCTAGATATTTAAGAAAATCTAACTCTCTACTTTTGTAACTTTTATGCTCACTTTAAAGGATAATGTGCATACATCTAAATGTTCAATTTTAATCGTTTGAATTAAATTATAACTATTAAATTGTCAACTTTAACAAAAAAAATCCGTGCTTTCGATTACACATCAGGGTTTTCGTTAACTTTGCGTCCCTATTGAGAAAGAGAAGTGAATTGGAAAGCATTTAAAATGTTTAATATTTGAAAGAAACTTGAATTTTCGGTTGCTGTGTTCCCTTGCCATGCCTTTTATAAGGGCATGACTAAGAAAGTACGTTTATTAAGAATGAAAATGTAAAATAATGTACTGTCTTGCTCTCTCGCTTGTATTGTTATTTATCAAACGGGTTGAAATAATGCTTCATATTCCTGCTTTGCAACAATACTCAGTACTCAACACTTTACAACTTTTTTAAATAATTTTCAGTGTACATCATTTCAAATTCCTTATTCAAGTTGATAAAACGTGAATTTTATATGAATTTTGCACTTATTCTAATTCATCAGATTATCGGCAAGCACGGAATAACGAAATGTGATCCGCAAAATATGGTGACAAAAGAAAGTACAGTGACTGGAAGTGCGCTGTTTTTCTGTGATACGGTAGGTCTTCTCGAGTTATTTTTAAGATGGAATGCTAATTATATGAAAATGGGAACAATCACAGAAATCCGTATTTTTCAACATGGATTGAGTGCCCCCCCCGGATGTTACCAAAGGGAAGCGGTGGTCGTTTTGAAAGGAAAGGAAAGGGGGGGGGGGGGCAGCGGCATGCATTATGATGCCCGCTTAGATTAGATCCTTGAACAGTTTTAACTGATTGTTTGAAATAACAAAGTTTAACAATAAAAAAGTCTCCAAGATTTCATACTACAAAACAAACCTTGATCTAAACCGTCTTTATAATAAAACTGAAAGCAGGGGCAGTGATTTCTTATCATTGACAGGGCCAGGAAATGGGTGATTGGGCCATCGAGCATACGTCTGATTTAAATTTAACTTTTCTATGATCTTTGTGTACTTTATGTAGGAAGCGAGATTATCCTTACATGATACCCTGTATCGTGGGATAGAGGAAGGATGGCTCAAACCGTACATCGGAGGTAGATTCAAACTGGATGACGTCATCGCTAGTCATCGAGATATCGAGACACGCAAGGGAGCGACTGGCAAGACTATTCTGACATTTGAATAAATGAATTGTGATATTGTAAAACTATGAAATTCACTTTCTTTTATTGTTTCTTCCATCTTTCATTTAGTGTAGTTTGAAATTTATTTTTGCCAATTTCTTATTTATATTACCTCTTTTTTATATTGTGTTTATTATTAATATGAATGACCTTCATTCAATGAATTAAGAAGGAAAATGCGAAGAAATGTTCATTTGCCTATCATTAAAAATTTAAAAGCTGAAAAGCAAAAGAACACGAAACAAACAAAAATCAACTGTCTTCAATGACAAAATTGAAAACTTGTATTCGACAGCACCATGCTGACAGCAATACAACTCGAGAAGAATTATTATTTAAATTAAAAAAGTCTTGTGAGGTACACTGCCTTCCGAAAGTTCAGGTTAACCTCTTATCGGAACTAACTTTTCACAATCAACCCCGTTTCATTTATTATCAGGTTTGTGGCACTGCAACAATTTGCTATCAAACTGAAGAGTTTGCATCCGTTTTCATTTTGGGTGATTGTGAAAAATCAGTATTGATAACAGGTGTACCCATCGAATTTCTGTTGAAAGGATCCGGAAGGTTCCGCGATCGATCGGAAATAAAATTGGCCACGACAACCTGTTCAAGACGGGAAGAAATTATAATATTCCTTTCAAATGTTGCCTTTATACAAAGCCTTGTCATTTTCAGTAAAGAATTTTTCACCGAATACTTGGGATTAACAAATATCTTCTTAGCATGGGCTTGGCTGATCCTAATTCATGTACATTTTGTTTATCCTCTGATGAAAGTATTTTACTGTTTATTTCGGGACTGCCTTTTTATGCATCAATTTATTCAAGACTTCCAAAGCTCTCTTCTAACTAATATTTATCACAATTGTGAAATTTTAGATGGTTACCATTTCGTTGTTTTTTTCTTCATTTTTTTGGTATTCAGTTCTGAGTTTTCAGTTTTTTTGATCGATCGGGTGAGTGGTACATGCACGACATTTCTTATTATAGGCTCTGTATATTAAAGCTTGGCTTGTTAGAACTCTTGTGAGTAATGAGCCGCGGGATTCCATATCCTCAAACTGCTGGCGAACAGAGCAACAAGACCAAGCTCTGTAATTATTAGGATCTCTGTCCAGTAGCGCCGTGTTTGTGCCATCGAACTGGATCGACCAAATCAATTGATTCATAATATATATATAATATTTTTTCCCGTAACATAAGAGTAATTTTGATAGTTTCATACTTTTAATTAAATGTAATGTTAATTGTTATTGTATAATTGTTTTAAATGGAGGCACGCTACAAGAGTCCTATCTCGCACCCCAGGGCAACGTGTCTGACACGGCCGGTAGTAGCAACTACTTCGAAGCTCAAGATACATTAATCTTGCTCTAAGGAGACACGAACGAACGAACTAATGAAGTGCATTTGAATAACATTTCTTTTTTTGTTTGGTTTCCCAGATGGTATACAAATATAGCTTTAACCTTCTCATTTTATCTGCAAACATGCTGTGTTCTCTATACAAATTGAAAAGGAGAACGGTTATCTTAAAGGTGAAATTCAAAGAAAATCACAAATATGTCAACTAATGTATCACTAGAAACAGGTAAGTTAACAGATGGCCATCGTACAAGTTTTAGGTCAACTACATATCGGGTAATTTATAAAAATACAAATACAACCACCTCCATAGCAGCTGGGATATACGAGAGATTCGCCGGAAAAATAACGATGTTTTCAGGCGCGGATCCAGGATTTCTTAGGGGAGGGGGCCCAACTTTTTTTTTTTTGCTCCCGAAAATTTGAAAATCGCGCCGGCCGAAAAGTCGCTCAGTGGGGGGGGGGGGGGGCGGGGGAACAGAGCACAATTTTTTTTTTTTTTTTTTTTTTTTTTTTTTTTTTGCTCCCGAAAATTTGAAAAACGCGCCGGCCAAAAATTCGCTCAGTGGGGGGGGGGGGGGGGGGGGGGGGGGGGGGGGGGGGGGGGGGGGGGTTAGTGAGCACATTTTTTTTTTTGATCCTCAAAAAAATTTCAATTTGCACCCCCCCCCCCCTTGAGCGCCAGGGGGGGGGGGGGGCCCAACCTCCAAAAAAGGTAAAAATCACGTGATTTTACATGATTTTTTTCTCAAGGGGGGGGGGGGGGGCCCGGGCCCCCGGGCCCCCCCTCTGGATCCGCCACTGATGTTTTAATGACGTCACTACATGGACCAATACTGCCCAAGCAGACGACATCCCATAAAGAATGAACATAATTGCAAAGCTATTATTTGTCAAATTATAATGAGTTTAGTGTATATAAAGTGGCATGTCAAACCATTCAAAAGGGGATATGACCCGATTCTGATAACTAAAATCTTTTGCTTGTAAATACACAGAATATGGGTTAATTAACAATCAAAGAAACCGGACTTTCAAATTGAAAACCCCCCGGAATGATATTAAGGACGGCATTTGTTCCCTCTTGAAACGCCGAACATACCGCGGTGTGTGCAACTGAATATACGATGGCGTCTTATTTTGTTTACAAGCGACAGATTCCTTTATTTTTGTATCGCTGCATTTGTCATCAAAATAAAACCATGCGCGGGGTTTAGAGTGAGGCAATAGATTATACATTCAGGCTGACGGTAGTGAAGTAAGAGAAGATGAAAACACAGGCACTGAAAATGTGTGAGATGTCATGGGACATCGTCTGCTTGTGCAAATCATGTCTATACTGTGATCTCACACATCTCAGCAGCGTTCGGAGAGCTCTTCAGGTGCTTTGCCGGGGCTGTATATAAGCGTTTTGTAATTTATAATAATCATTACTTCGAATGTTTCCAAGCATTGAATTTTGAGAACCTTGTCGAATTAAAGTTTCAACTTTGCAATAATGAAAATAGAGTTAGTTTTTAAAATCAATAAATCTACTTTAAAATTCTTTCTAGAATACGTTAAAACGTTTTAATGAAGTTGAGCGGGATCTTAATTGTATTGAAAACAATAATTTGTCACAAACTGGTGTAGCCGTGTTTTCTTTTTCCGTTATGTCAATTTGTTTGAATCAATCGAGTTGCTTTTTATTCATGGTTGAATAAATAAATAAAGTCTTTCACTGAGTGAAAACAAAATCATTTTATCTGCAAACATGTTGTGTTCTCTATACAAATTGAAAAAGAGAACGGATATCGTAAAATTCTTTCTAGAATACGATAAAACGTTTTAATGAAGTTGAGCGGGATCTTAATTGTATTGAAAACAATAATTTGTAACAAACTGGTGTAGCCGTGTTTTCTTTTTCCGTTATGTCAATTTGTTTGAATTAATCGAGTTGCTTTTTATTCATGGTTGAATAAATAAATAAAGTCTTTTACTGAGTGACAAAAAAAATAAAATAATAGGTTTGCCTAGATTTTAATATTTTTAATGCCTGGGTTTCCAGCTTTCAGCCGTAGACGAAAGACTTCATGCATGACTAATTGTCAACGAAACAGAATTAAATCTTGTGTTAATTCCGTTTGTTGCTACGGCAGTCAGTCAGTGAAAACGAATTCGTTTAATAAAATTATGGAAATGCAAGCACTACTTTAAAGATACAGTGTCCCTTTTGCAGCCAACATCAAATTTTGTAGAAATTTGCAGGAATTATGAATATGTCATGTATGTCCTATCTGTGAAATTTAAACGTTAGCAGTGTCCTAATATTCAAATTGTGCAAGGAAACCCGTTTACTTGCTAGACTTCACTGTCAGACACTATTGTGTGACTGACTGGCTTTTGTCTTCTTTGGTAATAACATACATAGAATGAGCTGTAAAGGGTACATGAGCATTTGTCTACACCAATAACCCACTTCTTGTAATGGCCTAAATTAAACTGATTGAATCTTTGAGCAGCATAAAACGTACGACCATTCGGTAAATTCGGCCTGCAAATGGGACAAAGTACCTTTAAACAAACAGAACTTTGTTATTCCTAGCTCCTTTTTCCTTATTGAAGTGTCATATGAAAGGGCAGAAACTCAACTTTCTGGAAATGTGATTTTCTCTTTGAAATTCAGATACCGTCCGCCAAATGACTTTTTGGTTTCCTCTCTTCAAATTGATTTTAATCACTCGTGCGTGATATATGCATTATATGAGTTGTATCAAATGAAAGAGGAGGATCTACGCTTTACAAATATGTGTCATTTATCAATTATAACTGATATAATGATATAACATCGATAATTCTCGGTTTCGTTTCTTCTGGGACGCACTGTACATGTTCTAATGCATTTTACAATTATGTTATTAACAGAAGAGGCGAGTTTTGAGATATTTGTAAAGGGTATCGAGAGTTTGCTGGTTGTGAAGAAATATGGGTAGGGTATTTCGTATGTACATGTCAAGGCATGGGCCAAGGTAGCCTTATGGGCTTGGTGATAATATGAAATATGATATTGATATCGCCATAAATGTTGATTTGTGGAAAAGAGTTGGTGTACGTACCCTTTTGGTAATAAAAGCCGCAACCAAACTCACATTCCGGTTTGTTTCTGTCTCTTATTTGATCAAGCGTGGATAATGCCTCCATTACTACCTTCGTTGGGCGGAAGCATAAAAAACAAAAAATAGAATATAGAAGAAGTTCAAGTAGTGTTGATAATATATATGTTTAATTATTTATTCACAATCCACTACAGTTAATACATTAGGAACAATCAGACTTTTGCAGACTCTTGTGCATATCGTATACAAACTACACTGTCGCTCAAATAGTTGAAATATTTTGTTTTACCCCAATTTATGGAATTATTTTGACAATGATTTATTCCTAATAGATCTACTGTATTAACCCCCAACCCCTTCTATATACTCTAGACGTTATATGCGCTATACGTTTAGGTTTGTTCTGGACATTAGTTGATATGTGCTCAAATAAGACTTTTTAATGTCGGCTGCTAGACTTTGTGCGCCCCGTATTCGATGAGGTATGTAATAATCTACATTTCATTTGAGTTTCAGCACATTTAAAGTAAGTGGGAATGAGCGGCGAATGTATTAAAGGCCGAAACCCCATTCTCCGATATTCTCTACACGTTATTCGCTATCAACGAAAATATTTGTTCTGGACATTGGTTGATATGCGCTCAAATAAGACCTTTTTAATGTTGGCTGCTAGAATTTAAGCACCCTGTATTCGATGAGGTATATAATAATCTACATTTCATGGGAGTTTCAGCAAATTTAAAGCAAATGGGAATTAGCAACGAATGTATTAACCCCCACCCCCTTCTATATACTCTAAACGTAATATGCGCTATACGTTTAGGTTTGTTCTGGACATTGGTTGATATGCACTCAAATCAAACCTTTTTAATGTCGGTTGCTAGAATTTGTGCACCCCGTATTCGATGAGGTATAGAATAATCTAAATTTCATGAGAGTTTCAGCACATTTAAAGCAAGTGGGAATTAGCGGCGAATATATTAAAGGCCGAAACCCCCTTCACCGAAATTCTCTACATCTTATGCGCTACTAACGAAAATATATGTTCTGGACATTGGTTGATATGCGCTCAAATAAGTCCTTTTTTGATGTCGGCTGCTAGAATTTGTGGACCCCGTTTTCGATGAGGTATATAATAATCTACATTTCATGTGAGTTTCAGCACATTTAAAGCAAATGGGAATTAACAACGAATGTATT